ATAAACAATAAGATATTATCACCTGAGGGGGAAGCCATGTTGTAGATAGTAGATCATGGTCCTGGCTTTATCTTCTTCCATTGTTGCCTCACGTGAGAGAAATGGTGGAGTGTCTATACAAGCTATTAAATTATCACATATAAGAAGTTCAAAATCGCTCAAAAAACGTCATCAAGTTGATCTTTCAATTTCACTAAACAATTTCTAAACGATAGTTTAAACCAAATTTAAAGTTTATATCCAATTTAACAATACATGGCAAAAATAGCTCTAAATTATCCGGCTCGTAGCCATAGAGTGAGTGCTGCAAACCAAGTAATGTATGAGCTGAAATTAAAAGGAAGAAGATAGATCCAAGGAATATGCATGAGAGAAGATAGAACCATCATGAAATCCACTAGATCTAACAGGAACGCCAACTAGAACTAACATGCCTCGTAATAGAACTAACATCATCTCCATTAGAGCTAACATGCATCCCGGTAGCATTAACATGCATTTCAGTTAAAACTAACACGTTAATTTAGAGCTAGCTAACATGCATTTCAGTTAGAACTAACACGTTAATTTAGACCTGATGCCTTACCTCGGTGGAGGCGAGCTCGACAGCGGCGAAGTGCGATGAGCCGGCGGCAACACTGAGCGGGGACGGCAAGCGCAGGCTGCGGCGATTTCGTGAGGTGGAGAGGAGGGGGGAGGTGATGGCGAGGATGACGTCGAGGGCTTGATCGATCTCCGGAGGCGGCGATGAACCTGAGGGCTGAGCTCGAATGCCGTCGGAGGCGTGGCTGATGACGAGGGGTGAGCTCGATGGCGAGGACGAGTAGACGGCGATGACCCGGCGGCGACGCTCAGCTGCGGTGATCTCGGGCGCTGGAGAGGAGGAGGGGAGGTGATGGCTAGGGCAAGGGGACGGCGGCGACGCTGATCGGGGACGTCGAGACACAGGCCGAGCTTGGGCGCCGGCGCTTTCGGGCGGTGGTGAGGGGGAGGAGGTCGGTGATGGCGACCGAATGCGCGATCTTGAGCCGGCGGCGACGCTGATCGGGGGCGGCGAGCTCCGGCGGCGATTTCGGGCGCTGGAGAGGAGGAGGCGGGAGGTGATGGCGCGATCTGGGCGGGAGAGATGAGAGAGGGGTAGGGATTTTGGGGGGATGGGATTTTCAACGAAGGGCTCAGATCTCTCTGAGGGGTTTTGAATAAACGGCCCAGATCGCGCATCCTCAGATGACAGCCTACGGAGTCACCGCAGATTCACTTGACCC